AGAGACAACTTTCTCTGATGGCTGACGTCTGTTTGTTAAATGCCATGAGATCCACCCAGAATATCTTTGAGATCAACCAGTAGATCACGATCCACGTGTTGGGCACCTCTGATCTAAATGATATATTTCTAGTTGCCGTCTTGTTCAGAGAATAAAACATCTGTCAGGTTGTTGTATAAACAAAGTTTATTTACGAAGCACCTGTTAAAGACGAGAGTTACGAAGTGTTTCACAATAAAAAAATTTCTCTCAATTGTCCCGTTGTGTTTCCTCAGGCCGAGAACATCCTGATCCTGGACATGGACCTGCCGGCTCGGACCACTAAAGAGTACCAGGAGCCAGTTATCGCCCCGAAGGTGGCGGCGGCTCTGGAGGACGCTCTTAGAGACGAGGACGAGATCCAGGTAGACGCCTCCGGGTTTCACAGCAGCTTGGGACTATCTCTGCCTGCCAGCGCCGGCAGCAGCCTCAAGAAACCAAAGTCTGGGTAAGAAAGGTTCTGAGGATCCGTTTCCTTCGCTGCTTTGGAGCGCTGGCTCTCCGCTCGCTGCCGTTTTAACGCCCGCTGCTTTTTTCTTTCAGTCGGCCGAGAACTGGCAAGAAGTCGAGCACCCCGACGTCTCCGTTCAGCCCCTCCAGTCCGGCGTCCCCTCTTTACCCACAGTCCCGCGGCCTGGTGCCCAAGTGACGGCCCCTCCAATCACCGGACCGCTTGTGCACCTTCCCACTTTAAGGCTTTGAGAGGCGGGGCTTTGTTTTGACTGACGCTGCTCTGTAAGTTTGAACCACATCACTGTAAACGTTCAGCATGAAGCCTCCCGTCTCGCTCCACCGCATCAGGCCCAGCGCCAGCTCACCGTGCTCTTAACGCGCAGCCCGGCGGCCTCGGAACACTTCCTGTTTGATGGACGCCTTCTGGCTCTGCGGTGAAACGGACTGACGCATCAGCTTTTCAGGTTTAGTTGCTGTTTTTGGCATCAGGGTGGAGCTTTAGTTTTGTGGTCGTTCAAGAATTAGTTCACGATGGCGTGATCGTTGAAGCTCTGTCAGCTGAAAAACTCCCGTCTGAATATGAAGCTGGAGGTTCTGGTTTGGCCAAGCAGCACCTGGAGGAACTTGAAGCCGCCTGATGAAGGTCAGCTGGACGGACATATCGACCGTCGGGGACTGGCGTCCATAAGGCGCTTCCCTTTCAAGAGTTTTGACCCATAAATGACCGAACAGCTCAAACGCCTCGTTCCAGCAGCAGAACCTCTGACTTCCTGTCCGGTCCGATGCCAGACACCAGCTGAGCCGCTCCAGTTCGGTGCTCCACAAAAATCTGCTTGATTTTTCAAATCAGCAGCAATTTTGGAGCAAATTGTATCTTAAAACGAAAAACTTAAAACAAAATACAGAAAAATCCCACGAGGCCGCGTAAAGTCGCCACTTTTTATTGTTTAAACAAACTCAGGACTCGGGGTTCACGTTCAGGTCAACCAGGACGTAAATATTTACAGAACTGCCTCGCCGAGTGTTTACGCTTCACGATCGACGGATTTCTGAAACATTCGACAGAAAACGGCCAAATAAAGTAAAACGGTCCAGAGACTGAAGCTCTGCGTCTCAACGATCAGCAGGTCGAGTTCCTTCATCACCGTGAAGCTGCGGCGGCTTCAGAACCGTCGGCTGGTAAACACAAACAAACAAACAAACAAACAAACAAACAAACAAACAAACAAACTTGTTTTAATTAGATTATTGTCGTCTGTCAAAGCTGCTGATTTATGACGTCATGAGACGGAGCGCCTGAATTTTCTTGATCGGGGTTTATTCATTGTCTCGGGATGCACGGATACCACCGTATCAGTACTTGTATCAGTACTCGTATCAATACTCGTATTTGTACTTGTAGTGATATTCGTATCAGTACTTGTATTGATACTTGTACCAGTACTCATACTGATACATCAGTACTCATAACGGTACATGTTGGTACTTGTATCAGTACTTGTATTGGTACTCGTGTAAGTATTTTTATCAGTACACGTATTGGTATTTGTATCAGTACTTACTCAAATATAAGCACTTGCACTTAGTTTGAAATAGCACGGTATTGGTGAATTCCTAGATTTCTGTAAAACGATGAAACCTTGACCGGTAAAGTTTCTGAACTAAATTCATTGTCTGCAGAGCCTCCCCCACTTTCTCATTTCCCCCTCCCCCTCCTCCTCCCCCTCCCCCTCCTAAGTGAATGGAGGCTCCTCAGGTAAAGATTCTCCCGGCAGCTCCAGCGTTCAGAACCACCGTTCGTTGCGACAGTAAGGGCGCGTGTTGGTCGTTCTCGGAGCGATGAAGCTGCTGCAACACGTCCGATTTATTTCTCGTCAAATATTTTGAGAAAGTCGTTAAAATCTGAATAATCTAAAATCTGTGACTTTGTTCTTCTTTCTGGCCACGAGCAGCAGCAGCCCTCCTTCCACAGCTGTAAGAACAGGGATGGCCCCTCCTCCAAAACAAACAAACAACAACGCTCCTAAAGACGCGGCCTCTGGTCGACGGTGTTTTTCTGCCGCCTCTTACTTAAAGAAACGCGTTCTTGATCGTAAACATCCGGTCGCTGTGATCTGTAAACAAGGTCCTTCCTGAGGCCGGTGAGACGAGGAGCGCTGCAGAAGGTGAAACCCACCCAGAACGTTCCGAGGGTCACACATCAGGGTTCCACGGTGCCTTAAACCCGCTGAGATTTAGTCCTTTCAGGTCCAGGGAAACAGGAAGTTCAGTCGCCGCCGAGGCTTCCTGCTCGACGGAGAGCGACGAAACCAACGCTAACCTCCTTCGACGTCCAAGGTCTTAATTAGGAGAACGTGAGAAAAACATCGACGTTCTCATCAGACGGCAACCCGAGGTGAAATCATTACTTTGTAATTTAAATAACGGAGCCGGTTTTAACACCAATAACTCTCAGGAACATCTGGACGAGTCCCTCACTGACGATGATCGTTATTTCAACATTCTGTAAAACAGCTCGAGGTCCTCCTGATACTTCCAGCTTCATCAGCTGCTCCAGGTTTTAAAACTGCAGATCCTGTGAGCTGGACTCATCGCTCACCCTCCCTACCCTCCCTGCTGAGGGTCATTGTGGACACTTTCCCCTTGACGACGTCAACAAAAGTCCAGTTTCGCAAACAGAACCTGCTCGTTTCCGGGTGATAAATCCCACGTTGGATCAAAGCACGGATCGCTTTGAAGCATTTGAGAGTTTGAAAATAATAAATGAAATAAAAATATTTATCTGATGTTTGAACTTCTAAAGACCAAGTTAATTTTAATATTTTTCAAAAAGATGCACTTTGTTTTGTACCGCGATCAGGTTTAATCCTCCAACTTCAGATACATCCGAGAGTCTTCAGAGTCCGATATTGATCAGAACCGACCCCCCAGCTGAACCTCCTGAAGGTCCAGGTGGACCGAGGACCCTCCTGCCTCCCTGCTGTAACTGTGAAGTTGCTCCGGTCCACTGTGACGTTTCAACAAATCTCGTCTCGATCTCCTCGAAGAGCCGCTCCACTCGCCGGAGGAGCCGAAACTTCCTGCCGTTCGAGCCGCGCTTCAGAAAATAAAAACATTAAAATAAAAACATTAAAATAAAATAAAAACAGGAAAACGTTTTTGCATCTTTCTTTAACGTTGCGCTCCGTGAAGTTTCTGCATCTTTACGAGGGTTTCTCTCGCTCGGCTGAGATCAAACCGTCAAACCGCAGCAACACGTTACATCGTACGTTTTTATTTATCTGCACGTTTTTATTTGTAACGAGCGACATCACTGGATCCAAACTTTATATTTCTGTGACCAATTTTTATGTTTTTTTTTTTTTTAGCCAAATGATGATTCTGTACTTTGACTTTTATTTTTCTATTCATTATTAAAGACAGTTTAGTGGAAAAGTGTCTGTTTTTTTTTATGTAAAAGTTGGATAATGAGGGGTTGTATGGAGTATCTGTAAGCAGTCAGTATCTCACCTGCAGCAGGTAACCGTCAGTTTGGAGAATCACTGAGGAACAAGTTAATTGCTACTCAAAGCTGCAAGAGGATTTTTATTAAAACCATCTGAAACAAGTTTTAGTTGCAGTTAGTTTGTTTTTGGGATGACTCTCAGCTACCTTCAGCTGTGTCGGCCATTTTTAGTTGGGTTGGCTTCAAAAAGGCGATGAACTGTAGATACGACCGATGAACTCAAGAAAATAAAAAACAAAATGACAGTTATTCAACTAGCCTGACGTGGACTTTAGTCTCCACAGTAACACTCTTATTCTGAAAGTCTAAAAAAACAGTAATTGAGAAGGACAAGAAGAATCTTATTGTGAAGGACTGAAGGATGTTAACTCTTATACTGAAGGACTCCTGGGAAGGACTGGAAGACAATAAAATGCTTATTCTGGAAACAATAAGGCTTATTTTGAAGGAATGAAATAGGACTCCTTTTGAGATGGACTGAAGGACAATAAGACTCTTATTGTGAAAGGTTATAAGATTCTTATTGTGAAGCTTTGAAGGTAATTAAGACTTTTATACTGAAGGACTTTTATTTTCATGCTGAAGGTCTAAGGGCCAACGTGTCCACTTTAAAGGTCTGAAATAGACTCTTATTATGAAGGACTAAAAACTATCAGGTTTTTATTCTGAAGGACAAAGACACCAGTTGCGGAAAACTAAAGGACAATGCAACTCATACAATGAAGGACTTTTATTGTTAAGGACTGGAAGACAAAATACTTTTATTCTGAAGGATATGACCCTTATTCTTAAGCTGAAGGACAGTACAATTCTTATGAGGGACAAGCACTTTTATTCTGAAGGACAAAAACACTAATGTGAAGAACTAAATGACGACTTATTGTGAAAGACTAAAGGACAATGTGACTCTTATTGTGAAGGAATATTACTTTTCCCTGAAGGATGAGTTTTATTATGAAGGTCTGAAGGACATCAAGTCCTTATTGTGAAAAACTGAAGTTTCTGAGGGTTGAGCTCTAAACTCATAAATCATCCGAATCTCTTTTTTAAAAACGTTCAGCTTTTTCTCCACAAATTTTTACTTTAGATTTCCGTCCGACACAAATCGATGAATATAAAAAAGCCTAAATTCAAAACAAAGTTTTTAGTTTTAAATTCACTTTGCAAAATGTAAACGTTAACTTGACTCGCCCCTTTTTGTTATTTTTAAGTTTTGTGTAATTTACTAATTTATAGATGTTGGCATTAATCCACCAGGACCCATTTTCCTCATAATGAACTTTATTATCAGGAGAAAAATTTACAGCTCAAATAAAAAAAGAAGCAAGAATTTTTCTTAAAAATACCAAAAAAAAAAAAACCTAAAACGATTGTTTACATCCAGCAAAGGAGCACAGAGCCGACAGGAAGTCATCAAACCTAAAGGAATGACCAGATCTCTGGCAGAAATGACAAACTACTGACCAGAATCGATTCCAAATTAAAAGTTTTTACCGTATGCGCATCAAACTGGGACGTTCTTTTTATGACTTAAAAAAAGAAACTGTTCGGAGCGCTGCCGTTTGACCCACGGTTTACGTTTGGCACAGAGAGAATAAAGAAAAAAATACAACGGAAAGAAGAAATAACGCCCCGTAAATGCTGGAACCCACCGCAGGAGGACAAATGTGGCAAAAGCAAAAAAAAAATAAAATTTAAATAGTTATATTTAACGTTCATCAGTTTCTGCAGCTAAACTCACATGCAGATTATTCTCCCTGCCCTCCCTCTGGAGGGTCATCTGGGTTTTTGTTTAGTTCACAAGAAGGATACTTAGGTTACATCGTGACGACGTTCATTAGAGTAAAAACTTTTTTTATTGTAATCCACGCCATCAAGCATCTTTCTTGTGACGAGCCGAACGTCCGTCAGGATGGAGGGGACTTTAATCTGCTCAAACAGCTTCTCCAACGTTTCAGCTTCCATTCTTTTGTTCTTCATTTATTTGTCGTCCTGGACGACTTGAGAAATCACACCAGAGGTTTCGTCGTGCTTTCTGTTTGGGTTGCGCTCTCGGTTGTGTTTTCCGGGATCTGGAGACGAACAGGAAATGGTTTGTCGGATGTGTGTGTCGGGAGTTTAAATCCCGAGACCCCGCTCGCTCACACTGGATCACGACCCGACGTGGTGTAAAAAATAAACAAAAAGAAAACAAAACGCTTTAAGAACACCTGGGGGTCATTTTACAGAAGACTGCGCATGATCGGTCTGTGACGGTGGAGGAGCGTAATCGTGACACGCTGCTCCGGTGTAAGGAACGTTATGAGACATTTTCCTTCCTGTACCTTCACTATAGGATGCACCTAGAATTAGATTCAACAACACATCTTCACGTTGACAAACATCAAGCGATTTGGGACAGCGGAAACTAAACAGCGACCAATTCGAAATGCCCACAACCACTTTGTGACCATTTTGAGAGAAAACTTGCAAAAATAGCGTCTCTGCGACACAAGTGTGAGACTGACATAGGGAAAAACGAGAACCTTCACAAACGTCTCCAGACATTTTAGAGACTCTTGTGGAAGCCATTTGCATTTTGTTGCAAGCGGTCGCAGCCCGGAGGTGTCTGGGCTTCAGAGACAAGCCAGTGAAGTTGGAGAAGTTCCTCCTGTCACTGCGTCACAATCGTGCTGTTAAAGGACAACTAGTTTGGTTACATAAATCTGAAATGATTCGAAAAAAAGGTCGCGGAAACGACTGAGCACAGAGGTGGCATCCTAGAGGTGGAATTCTCTACCCTAACAGAGATGGCATCCTCTACCTTAGCAGAAGTGGCATCTTCTACCTTAGCAGAGGTGGCATCCTCTACCCTGGCCGAGGTGGCATCCTCTACCTTAGCAAAGGTGGCATCATCTACCCATGCAAAGGTGGCATCCTCTACCTTAGCAGAGATGGCATCCTCTACCTTAGCAGATATGGCTTCCTCTACCCAAGCAAAAGTGGCATCCTCTACCCTGGCAGAGGTGGCATCCTCTACCTTAGCAGAGGTGGCATCATCTACCTTAGCAGAGATGGCATCCTCTACCTAGCAGAGATGGCTTCCTCTACCCAAGCAAAAGTGGCATCCTCTACCCTGGCAGAGGTGGCATCCTCTACCTTAGCAGAGGTGGCATCATCTACCTTAGCAGAGGTGGCATCCTCTACCTTAGCAGAGGTGGCATC